CTAAATAGCTTCCAAATACTTGCTGAAAAGCTTCTAAATAGCTGCTAGCTAGCTGCTAAATAGCTTTCACATAGTTGCTGAATAGCTTCTAAATAGCTGCTAGCTAGATGCTAAATAGCTTTCACATCGTTGCTGAATAGCTTCTCAATAGCTGCTAGCTAGCTGCTAAATAGCTTTCACATAGTTGCTGAATAGCTTCTAAATAGCTGCTAGCTAGCTGCTAAATAGCTTCCAAATAGTTGCTGAATAGCTTCTAAATAGCTGCTAGCTAGCTGCTAAATAGCTTCCAAATAGTTGCTGAATAATTACTAAATAGGTGCTAACTAGCTGCTAAATAGCTTCCAAATAGTTGCTGAATAGTTTCTAAATAGCTGCTAGCTAGCTGCTAAATAGCTTCCAAATAGTTGCTGAATAGCTTCTAAATAGCTGCTAGCTAGCTGCTAAATAGCTTCCAAATAGTTGCTGAATAACTACTAAATAGGTGCTAAATAGTTGCTAAATAGCTTCCAAATAGTTGCTGAATAGCTTCTAAATAGCTGCTAGCTAGCTGCTAAATAGCTTCCAAATAGTTACTGAACTGAATAGCTTGTAAATAGCTGCTAGCTAGCTTCTATATACATACATATATACATATGTACATGCATGTTTATCATGTTTACATGTACAAAGCATCCCCATTGCACATAGGAACGCATGCAAAGAATATTCTATGTGCATCGATTTTGTGAAACAGTCCTAAATTTCTATTAAAATCATGCTTTTATGTTTAAATTATGTTATACATGTGCAAAAATCGAATATTCTAAGTGCACTGGTTTTACCCCGGGGACATATGGTTTTAAGGATATTCTAACTGCATAGTCAATAAAATCGAATATTCTATGTGCTAGTCCACTAGTATATATATTTCATATTTTTCCATGAGTGCATGGATATTCCCCCATATTTTGATTCCCATTTTGGATTGCGAGAGGGTATGAAAACTTCGCCGAGGTATCAATGGCTGGCATGTCAAGGCACTCGAGATGGGGTTGGGATCATAACCATTTGAAACCATCATTTACTATATTCCATTATGATCCATTATGTAATGTCAGTAATATCCATGAATCCTCATGGAGACATCCTGTGCTGTGCCAGGTGCTTGGCCGTGCTGCTGCTCCTTTCCCTCAGCGATGCCCAGCTGATGCGTCGCGACTCCTCTCGTGCGGCGAGCCGCCGATCGCGGCTGCAGGGAGCGCTGAGGGAAGCGCTGGCGAAGGTCTCGGCTGAGCAGGTCCTGTTTGTGGAGGACGGTGATGCGGCAGAGGGTTGACCGTTGACCCCATGGAATGAAGGGCCTTTTGGGGATGGGATGATGAAGGATGGGACCGATGGGAATGGGGGAGGACAAAGCCACTTGGTGGCACGTGTTTGTAGCCGTTTTGGGTTTTTCAGACATTGAATTTCATTGATGAAGTCAAACTAAAAGTGATTGGTGGTTTGAAGGAACAGAAACATGAATGTTTAAGCCAAAGAACAATGGGTCATTTGTGACCACCTTCACCAAGGCTTCTGGACAGTGTATCTATTACTGTCGGATTTTTCCATTAAAACTCCGAGTTTTTCAGGATTTTTCCATGAAACATCAACAATCACCATGGATTTCCCTCTGGTTTGATTGCCAGGGGGTAAACCGGGTAAACTCCCACTTTTCCAGTTCAACCACCATTTATCTTTGGTTAACTAAACAATGGTTGCTTCAAGCACCATTTTTGTCGGGAAAAGGCACCATTTTTGTTGCTTTAAACCACTGGGAAGGGATGAAGAATTGCTTGCGAGGAAAGCCTACGTGACAGTTACGAGGCCTTTCCCAAAGATGCGAAGGGCAACCTGCCACCGCATTCGGCCCTGCCAGCCTTGGCGCGGGCATACTTTGCCAAGGCGCTGCCAAGATGAGATTTGGATTAATGGGACTTAATGGGACTTACTGGAAACTAATGACTAGAAATTAAATGGACTTAATGGAACTTCATGTGATACATAGCTACCATAAAAGGACAACCGAGTTTCCAAATTAAGTCTCAACGGGACACAAAGAGTTTCTAAATAAACCGGACTTAATGGGACTCAATGAATACATATCATATAATGGGAAAGCATCTAGATCAAACATTCTCAAACCTTCCCCAAAATCCGGTTGAAGGAACTGCCGGTCTGTTGACCTCAACGCTCCAGGAGCATGGCTGGTTGATCCGTGGCTTAGAGAGCCCAGGCGCTCCCATCATCGCGCCGGGGGAGAGCTATCGCGAAGCAACGCAAGGCCATGGAGCTGGAGATCTCTATGAGGTTCATGCCCTGCAGGCTGGGGAAGGATGGAGATTTGGTGAAGGTGGTGAAATATATTCAAGATATTCACGTCGCTTCGAGACGGCAACCGCCCGCACCGCATCGTTCGTAACTGCCAATGATGTCGGCCATTGAGACCAAAAACATCCGAAAGTACTGATTGTCGGAAAAAAACACGCGAAGAATTTGATAGCCATGTATAGCGGACCAACGCAGTTCAAAAAATAACGAAAAACATGAAAAAACGGCGAAATTGCTCTTATTTACAGTGTTTTTGTGCGGTGAGAAGCAGAAACCACTGCAAATACCATGGTTTTTGAGGGTCAGGTGGCCAAAAACACTGTAATTTACAGTGTTTTTTTAACCAACGTCAAAAAACACTGGTATTTACGATGTTTTTATTCACACCGTAACATAAAACAGCGTAATTTACGAGGTTTTTGGAAGTTTTGAAGCTAGCCGTCAAGCATGCAGAAAACAGAAAAAACACTGTAAAAACCAGTGTTTCTGCTATCACAAAACGACGAAAATCAGTCCGAAAACGGGTCCAAAAACTCAAAAATCCGCCTCCGGGCCAGGCCACCTGCGGAACCGCAAAAAACGATGTTGCAAACCAAAAAATTGAGGTCAAAAAGTTGAAAAACACGGGGTTTTTTCACTTTTCGCTTGCCGATTTTGGACGGGCGCGTTCACGAACAGGTGTCTTCCGTACTGTTTTTTACAGTGTTTTTTGAAGGCGAGCGTCACGACCTATCAAAAACAGGGGGTTTTGGCCGAAAAATGCCCCCCCCCCCCAGGTAAACCTGTAACCTTTTACGAGTGCCATCCGGAAGATCACGCCCCAGCACCTTCGGTGCGGGCGGATTTCAGGATCATTGTTGATGCTGATAATTCTTGCTATGATTATCCGGATCATTTTTGAGTGATGATGATTAGTAGCGATGATTAGTGATGATTAATCATGATTAGTGGTTACTATGTTGATTTGATATGTTTTTTTTCTTGTCCGATCATAGACGTGCTTAATTATTATTAGCTATGCTAATCAGATACATTGTGATTGCTGGTATTAACAATACTATGATATTCCCTATTATTAGAGTAACAGACTATTATGATTATCATTGTAACATATTATCAGACAGAATCAGACATTATCATTGTCAATTTCCCGCCAGGACAAGGCTCCGGAGCTGGCTGCCGCCTTGAAGGAAGCGGCCCTGAGTCCCGTGGCCAGCTCTCGAGGAATGTCCTTGGCGGATATCTCCCAGACGGTGGCAGCGCTGGAACAGAGCCTGGGATAAGAGGTTGGAAAAGGATGGCAACTTTAGTTTTTGTTCTTTTGGGGATTGCGGATGATTGCGGACATTTGCGGACACTTTGTTCTTGAAACGCTTTCGGAAAAGGAACATTCACACTTGGCGACCTTTATTCCTCTAATTTACCCGTTTACCATACGGTACCGATTTCAAGGCACGAAATTGGCTTTTCTTAGCCTTACAAAAGATTTTTTAGCCACGTAAATAGTTTTAGCCTCGTTAAAGGTCTGCTTAGCCTCGAACTTATGTTTATTTTTCAAACACGAAAAAAACAAAGTCGAATTAAAATCGCCAAAATATCTAATGAATCAAGTCACTCAAGTCTCTGTGCCGCAAAATCAAATGAACATTTCTTGTCGCTAAAAGATTTAATGAAAAAGAAAAGGCTGCCTGGTACAACCTAGTGAAACAGGAAAGGTTGTTCCGGAAGAATGTATGACCAAGGAAAGGCTGCCTGGTAAAATCTAATGAAAGGGACACTCTCATCAATAAAATCGAATGGAACGGGGAAGGTTGCCCGGTAAGACCTAATGAGAAAGGTTTCCAGTCCGGTAAAAATAATGACAAAGGCAAGGCCTGGCAAATCTGATGAAACTGGAAAGGTTGTCCAGAAAGGCCTAGTGAGCCCATGCCAACTTGTACGAAATACCCATCGCCAGGCCTGGGCTCATCGGTTGCCTTGGAGCACCGGCATGGGCCTTGCAGAGGGGCAGGGGGCAGGTAAAATGGTGGCCTCAGGCAACTACGCTTGTTTTTCGTGGGCTTGGGATAAACATAGTGATTTGGGAATTCTTTTGTAGATAATAACCGCTGAACCCCCGGGATATTGAAGTGCTTGGTTGTGAAGAAGCTAACTGATGGCGTGATGTATTTTCTTTCTGTTTTCCCACCATGGGGAAGAGCTGTTTCAGACAGAATTGAAATGTCCAAATGAAACAGAAAGCCAAATTTTGTTTGTGGTATGCTTGTCACCAACATTTGATTTGCTCTCCAGCAACAGCAGCGGCCACATTTCTAATCCAACTCCCCCGCCGCAGGAAAGTTACCGCACGTGAATGTGCGTAGTTCAAACCACATGAGCCTATCCTTGAACTTAGCTTCATCAGAGAACGTTTATCGTCAGTGTTTGACCAACAGACATTTGAAAAGTTGTTTATCGGCGTGGATTGAAAATAAGCAGTTTCTTTGAGCCACCCTTGCTCTGAGGATCCTGCTGGAGCGTCGCCGTTGGGCCCCAAAGAGCAGCAGAACGGGACAATTTTTTGGTTCTGTTGGGGGATTTTCCGGACTACAAACCATTGCATTTGATAGGGGGGGAACCTTGACTGGCCACCATGCCCACAGACGGCGATTTCAAAAAACAAACACCACCATCGGATCAACGAGTGATTGAGTCTTGGCCATGTGAATTTCCCAAGGACCCGATAAATGAATTTCTGGTATTGTATTCATTATAGCCATTCAATCAGGTGGCAACCTTCCAACCTTCCGGAGACTTGGGACATCTCGAGACTGTGCTTTCACTTCTGAAAGACAACCAAGTGAATCCTGTACATGTGCTGAAAGCTCAAGATTTTATTGGAATTGACAACATCAGACATTGAGGAACTTAAGTTGAGGTGTAAAGCTTTCTATTCTTTCTACAAGTCCAGTCATCGACCCATGAATCCTAGTTTGCAGACTCCGGTCAACAAGCATCACGCATCTACTGTTTGTGGATCATGTCTGAGGAAACCATGGAATCAATTTTGCTATGATCTCCCATATCAAAAAAGGAGTACCGAAAGAAATTCAAGAGTGTTTCAAGTATAGAATATATGGGTTTTATGCTTTCCTATGTTTTCCAGATTTCCACCTGTTCGTTCTCTACGGCTCAGGTTTGCCAAATATACATATATATATACATATTTACATATATATCTATATATACATATATATATACATTTATATATATATATACACATATATATATATATCTTTATTTAACCTTTGGTTTTCACCATTTTTTCATGTTCGATGCACGACTTTCATATTTCATGAATCTTCCAATATATGTAGCTTAGTTTACCTCAAAACCAGGTGTTGATACCTCGACCCGCTTTTTTCAGGGATTTGGTTGATGTAGGATATATGATGATGATATCAAACTTTGGTAAGTATTTATCTCAACCGTCATTGGGGACCAAGATTTCATTTATCTATATAACATCTAGATAGAATTCAGAAGTTTTGGGGGCATATGCTGCGGAGGCATTCTAACCCTACAAAAAACAAGGTTTGGTGGCCCCGGCAAACCAAGCTTTTGGTCGGTTTTAGACTACGGTATTTTACGGTTTTTTGTTGGTTTTGATGAATTTTTACAGGTTTTCGACGGTTTTTCTACGGGTTGTGGCGAAGTTGCTTCATCAAAAACCTGGTTTTGTTGGCTAAAACCTGTTTTTTTCGCAGAAACTAGCTCAAAACCAGGTTTTGATACCTCGGCCCGTTTTTTTCAGGGATTTGGTTGATGTAGGATATAAATATAAGTATATAGATATATAAATATAAATATAAATAAAAATATATATATATAATATATATATATATATTATATAAGAATTCAAAAATCTATATATAGAATTCAGCTGTTTTGGGGGCATATGCTGCGGAGGCATTCTAACCCTACAAAAAATAAAGGTTTTGTGGCCCCGGCACAACAGGTAGGCAAATTTGATCGAACAATTTTTGAGCATTTTTATCCACATTTACCAGCATAATACGGACTGAAAGGTAGAATTTTAGTAGAATTTTTAAGACAATTTTGGTGTGTCATTCTAACTTTCAATGGATTTTTTTTGGTGGCAGGTGTGTCATTCTAACTTTCAGTCCGGCGGTATAGATCATTTATAGAACAATCAACAAATCGTGATTTTTTTGAAAAACAATTTTCATTTCCTTCGCCTTGCAAAAGGCGCTGCTCGGTCTGACATTGGTGGATGGGCCCCCCTATAAGGTCATTTCACAACCTTAGGCCTTTCAAGGCAACAGACCCCGCAAGAAAGCATATAAAGTTGCCAAGCAGTGACCAGTTGACTCAAGACTGGGTCAAATGCATGACCAGTGGCCTCCGCATGTAAGTGGGTTTCACACATAGATTGGTGTGGGAAAATACGATGGTCCAGCATGTCCGGCCATCGTGTTTTCCCACATGGTTCTCGAAACCAAGAATCCCACGAACTAGCCATCAACTGCCTGATTCTTTTTGACGTCACGCTGCATGGGTCTTTTAAATATGTGTAAATTACATATACCTTCAAAATTTCAAACGTTGATAATCTGTTGTTTGATTTCAGAGCATGTTTTCAAGTAAAGAAGCCGCGCGCACCTGTTTCAAGAAGAAGTCAAGTGAACAAGCTTCAAAAGTAAATCTATTTGTGTGCAGGTTGTTTCAAAAGACAGGTTGTCTCCGGTAAAATATGAGTCCTCATTGGCTAGTTGAATAGAGCTTGAGTTCGGATTGCCTGCATCACAGTATATATGGAACGGCCTGGCAGCTCAAATCAGTACGGGGTCTCTTGTCTTGGGGAATACGGCCTCCTCAACAATTTCTCCTCATGTCTCGGAAGCCCATTCCTCAACAGGAGAGGTGGAACCTGAAACTCCTTTGAGAGAATCGGGGGAATCGAAGATCATCCAACGCCCAAAGCCTGAGTGCCCACACTCCCATGCCAGCAGGTGCAGGAGGAAGATCAGGACCGCAAGTCGCCAAAGAAGGGAATCCATCGCAGCGGGGTCTCTGAAGTGTGGGCGCGCAGGGCCGCATCAAAGGCATACTTACAACCCTGCCCCCAAACCTCATCAAAAGAAACACTTACACCATCTTTACCCCAAGCCTCAAGCCACGCACGATCCGCATCTGCACGAGTGTGACATTGCGTCCGAAATTACCAAGGTGCGTTTACAGTCTCATTGAAACTTTGGTGAGTGGGGATATATAGTTCACTTGATCTGCTTCCGTTGCCTGGTGATAGACTGGCATCTCTACTAAAGTGTTGGACTTTTCAGCCGAGAAGCGCGAACTTTTTGTTGTTCGCTGAGCAGCCGCGTGCGAGAGATCAGACAGAAGACTTGGAACGCGCTGCTGCTGCAATAGGAGGTACAGCAAGAAGGGCTAAAAGCATGTGGTGTGCGACGAGTTGCTTTTTGACCATCGCAAGGAGCTGGGATCTGAGTTTGTTGGCTTTCTAAGATTTCAACAAGCATATGGCCACAATAAATCTTAAAGTACGGAGGTGATTCTTCTCTGGCTAAAGCACTGGAAGGTCATCAGCCACATCGGCAAAAGTACTGGTGCAGGCCATAATGTCTGGTACAGAGGCAAGATGATGCCGTTTGATACACTGGTGGCAATGTTTTGCTCTTCGATCAACTGTCGACAATCTCTCATATTTCTACGTGGTAGCATCGCTTGCGAAAGTTGTGTCAGGATGATCTGTTGGTTGATTTTGTATTTTGGCCCTCAGGGTTTGTGACACTTCGCCGCTTCCACTAAAAAGATGCAGTTGCATTATTCAGATTGCAGGTCTCGAAATGGTTGGAGATGTTACAATGATCATAAACGCATATAAATGCTATGAGGTTCCGGCTTGATTTCAGCGTCTCTGAACTACATTAGCAGTATGATTTGCAGGGTGCATTGTGTAGCAGGTCAGTGCCGGCGAAGTTCTGAGCTCGCAGGCTTAATCATTTTTGATTCTAAAGAGGAATTCTTTACCTGGAGGAAACCTTGTTCATTAGATCCGAGAGTAGGACTATCCTTATTCATTAGCTTTTACCGAGTGGGCCGCTGTTTCATTCAAATTTATAGAAGAAACATTTTTCACTAGTTTGTTTCGAAAGCAGGACTATCTCTATATTCATTAGATTTTACCGAGTGGGCAGCTGTTTCATTAAAATTTACGTAGGGTAGACCTTTTTCACTGGTTTGTTTTGAAAGCAGGACTATCCTTATTCATTAGATTTCACCGAATGGGTTGCTGATTCATTAAAATTTACCTAGGGGAAACCTTCTTCCCTAAATTTTTCCGAACCCAGGCCTCCTATCCGTCAGATTTTACCGAGGAACAAAGAGACTGACTGCCTAAAGGAAATCAAAGAGGTTGACTGAGAACAAAAGGAACATGGACAAACATTTAGTGGCATTTGTGGCTAACAGTTTTTAATGGTTACGTTTGGTTCCGTGGCTGAGAAAAACATGCGGGGCTAAAGAATCTTGGAAAAACTACGCGGCTAGGAAAAGCTGCCTTTACCATACCCGTATTTGGGATTTGGTTGTGTCCCGTTGGATTTTTTTGGTCCCTTGCGGTGGCGGTCGCCAGAAACGAGGATCTTGCTGGAAGAATCAGTAGGCTTGCTCAGGGCTGCCTACGTTTTGAACGAGCTGGAAAGCGTACCTTGTCTGGTTTTGGAAGTGGAAACATGACATCCAGTTTGGGATGAGAATCAATGAACACATATCCAATCTATCCTTTGCATGTTTTTTGTTAGTTTTAAACAGTCTTCAGCCGTGGATTTGCGTGGGATCCCCACGTTGGAGCCATTGGAGTTGAGGATATGGACCGAGTGCCTGCTCCCATCACCGTGGAAGACGCGCACGAGGTTTTGCTCTCGTACTTGCTGCTCTTCCGTCATGGCTTACCACATGATTTGGAGGCAGGGTAGAACAGGTTAAACAACATGGAACAAATATTGAGGCCATGAGAAACGGAGGAACAAACAACACAAAGAGGTGCTACAGACGTAGTATAACGCTGACAAAATGTACAAATAAGTTAGGTTTGATCCCGGATGAACCCTGAGGATGCCAAGAAGCATCTTCAAATGAAGCTGCGTGCTCGCAAAACTTCAGAGTGGAAGGGCATGCAGAGTTTCGAAGCACAGGCCTTGAACAGCAGCGGCAAGCTTGCTTGGACAGATCTCAAAGAGCGAGTTATGCTCTTGGCAAAACTGTATCTGCGTGGTGTGTATAACATATTTTTCCTATTAGATTTTTCATTTTATGTAATCTTCTTTTGGGATGAGGTTTCTCGAAATCAGCACATATTCAATGTATTCTTTGGCTGCATAGCACCAGGTATGGACGCTGGCAAAATCGTGAATGTGAGGATATGAAGTCTACCCTGGTGAAGATGGGAGATTCAGGTCGGGTGAAGTTGAATGACTTCCACGGATCACCGAAATACCCCCAGTACCAGTTCACTGAGAAAGAAGAATACCTGCAGCAGGTGCGGATGGGTTGAGGAGGTGGGAGAGTTGAATTTGGAAGTGGGGCTGATATTGGATGAAACTTGCTCGGAAACTGTACAAACTAGTCACACACACACACACAAAAATACACACACAAAAATATGTACATCATATATACACTACACTTCAACAGCTTTTTGGCATTTGTGGTAGATATCTTGACCCTTTGTATTTGTGTGATTTCGGATTGAACGAGAATAGCATGCAAAGGCACCTTTTCCTGACTCCTAAACGACTTGACAGCAGCAACCATCGTAGGCAGGAATCTTGGAGGAAGAGAATGGTGAGCATCTTGCTGGCAGCTGGCAGTGGGGCATCGTGGTGCCGGTATCCAGGTTCCATTAAGAAATAGAAGAAATCAAGTTGTCATCCAAGTCATTGATTATTTATCATGAAGGGAAACCAATGGTGAAAAGGTGCTTCCCATTAGAACATGTCAAAAATCCGGGGCCTGTACGCAGATGATTCATGCCAGCCGTCTCAGCGGCCCACAACAGGGTGGAGTCTATCCCACGTATGACGAATGATGGAAGAGTTTTCTTAGCACTGCATGGGGTGGCAACACTTCCAAAACGCACTTTTCTTTTATTAAACAACCAAGATCCATGGAGCTTAATCTTTCAGATCCAGCAATCGTTGGGAATTTCCAAGGAAGTACGTGTTGATTGCCAACTATTTGCTGGGCGCGTCCAATTGCATCGCTTCCTCCGAATACTTCGCTGTGTGCTGCTTGAACGAATGCGAAACGCTGCTGAATCACTTCGAGGCGATGTGGGGATGTGAGAGATGGGAAATTTGAGGGGGAATTGGGGGTACTTGGATCTTCATCCCATTAAACTCATCGAAATTCCCACTGGCTGATACTGGCTGCTGTATTTTTGTATGAT